CCTGGCTTGGGAATGGACAGAGCAGGTGGCAGGGCCTAGACTCTCAGCAAGGAGATTGGGGAAGAGGTCCCCCCTGGAGAAACCCAACCTTGTGGACCCCCTCCCTACAGGACGGTTTCAGTTACAGCAGAAAATTCTCTCATATCACAGAATGTGCTCACTGCCCCACCCCCCCGCAGGCTGGAATTCTGGTGAAAAAAAGTGCCTTAGTCCGGTGGGGGCATTCCCCAGTCTATGCCTCACCCACAGCCTTAGTCATATTTTACTTAGTATTTCATTACTGATGGTGATAGTGATTTTTACCAATAATAAATAGAAAACGATACAAGAATGGTGCTCTATTTACAATAAAATAATACATAAAGCACTTATTAATAAGGGGGTAGTTAGTTACTACTTTTGTATAGGTTGTTAATTCTTTGAGATGCTTCTGTGGACATGGTACACAGCTGCTGACTGAGACCCCTGAAACCCCTGCCCTGGGCCCTGTCAGCTTGCGCCCTCCTGAGCATCACCAAAAGGGTATGAGCCTGTGGTGATCAGTAGACAGGCTCCCACTTCTGTATAAGTGCTAGTCTACTGAAGTGCCACAGTGGGACAGACAGAGACGGTGTGCTTACCCACCTGGCCTGAAGCCAGGTGTCTCCATTGGTGAAGCATTGCCTGGATCTGCCAAGGCTGAGAGTTTGTTCTCTTGTCAGGGTTCATGAGAAAAAAACAAACAATGAATTCTTCAATGAGTGGAACAAAAAATCGCTTACGCTCTGTTAAATAAAAATGTTAAGAAGTGAAGTAGATTCTTCTCCTTGTGGGGTGAAACTTACAGGAGTCTACTTGGTGCCACACAGTCCTGCCTTCTGGGCCACTGCTATGGCCCAGTGGAGGGAACAACAGGTCCCCCGCCCATGGCGTGGTCTCCCTGCAGGGTCTTACTCAACAGGGATTCCATGATCGTGGGTGACTCAGCTGGGCAGACCATGGACTGCACCCCGACAACAGAAGGACTTGATTCAGCTCACTCAGTTTATTTTTCAATATAAAGAGTTGTTCACCTTAAGTCATTGGAATATTTTTCATTTACAAGCATCACACTTTATCCATTTAATCCTTCAGGGAAAAAATCATGGCACATGTGGTTACCCTGGCTGGTGTGGCTCAGTGGGTTGAGCATCGGCCTGCAAACTGAAATATCACCAGTTTGATTCCTGTTCTGGGCACATGCCTGGGTTGTGGGCCAGGGCCCCAGTTGGCGGTATGCAAGAGGCAACCAACTGATGTTTCTCTTACAAGACGATGCTTCTTTTCTCTTTTTCTTTCCTTTACCCTCTAAAATAAATAAAGCCTTAAAAATATATCTGTTATGTGCCAAGAATACTCCTAAGAGGTGGAGACTCAGCAGTATATTATAAAATACATTCCCCCATCACCCATGGACATGAACAACAGTGTGGGGACTGGCTGTGGGAAGGGGGAGCTCTGTAAGGAGGGGGCCAAAGTGGAAATAATTAGGACAACTGTAATAGCATGAATAATTAAAAAAACTATAATTTAAAAAAATCCCTGCCATCATGGAGACCAAGTTACAGAAAGCAAGAGAAACACTAATAAGGAAAAAAAGATTTTGAACATAATAAGTTCCAATTTCTTTAGAGAATTTGGAATATCAAAACCCATTGGGCCAACAACTCCTTTTGAAAACCAGGGCAGAGCCAGAGGTCAGTGGGTCTAAGTGATCAAAAGCTCAAACCAGACACTGAAGGCTTCCTGTCCCTTAGAGAGGAGTGGAAATTATCCTCTTAGGGGGAGGGGACATGCTTCAAGTGTCTCTTGCAATATTCAGCACATTGTGGGGTGTTTTATAAATGCCTGTGTCTTGATCGGTGGGGGCAGCTGTGGCTTCTCTGGTGAACAAATCTTTGGGAAGAACAAACATATCCATCCATTTAGTCATCCATTCTACGGTAGCTGGATTTTTATTCCAGGAGCTCATTCTTGAAGAGCTTGCACCATCTAAAACCTGCATAATACAAGGCCAACCCTAACAAGTGGTGATTGGTATGTCTCTTCACACATTAAGATGATATCAAAATAACAAACATGGAATACAATACTCATAATGGATCATATGAGAAAGCAAGGAATTTTAAGAAATTTTAAATTGCAAAGCTTCTTGTTATTCTGAAAAAACAAAACGCCACTCAAATATGACTTCTATAATTAAAGTTAGCATAAAACATAGCCATGTTGTATTCTTATAATTACACAATATCCTTGTTTGACCCCACTCCACAACGTAAATGCTCGAACCTTGCCAATAACTCACATATCCCTTCAAAGCCCTGCGGCAATTTCCACAAGCCAAGGACATCATAATCTGGAATCCTTGCATGTCTGTATTTTGTTATTCATTTTGGGGGGGGTACTAATTTCCCACAGATATATTTTTTGAATCTCCGTGCTAATAGTTTCAGTCAGGTTGTTATCCTGAAAGACAAAGCTGCCTCTTAAAAATGACTGTGCAGTTTTGGCCCTCATCTGCTTACATCTCACACTGTCCATGGCCTGGAGAGCTTTGTATCCAGGTAACAGCAGGGCTCTTTTGCAGGAAGATCCAGTTCTTTGAAGAAGTCAGAGGTAGACAGAGCTGTGCTTTCTGCCTAAGATTTAATCAGGCACAGTTCCACTGGTGTGAATCAGCTCCCCGAACAGGTTTTCTGAAAAAGTTCAGCGGGGAGACTGGTCTATGGAGAAAGGGTACAGTAACAGGGACAGCTCAGTCAGCCTGGCTCAAATCTTTTTTGTTGTTGTTGTTAATTGTTGTTCAGTTACAGTTGTCCTCATTTCCCCCCATTTCTCTCCCCTGCCCTGCGGACCCCCACCCTGGTTGTCTTTGTCCATGGTTCCTTTATACATGTTCTTTGACTTGACCCTTCCCCTTATTTCCCTCATTATCCCATTCCTTCCTTCCTCCAGTTTGTCCTTTATTGCCCTGTCTCTTGTTCTATTTTGCTGGCCTGTTTGTTTTGTTGATTAGGTTCCACTTACAGGTGAGGTCGTATGGTGTTTGTCTTTCACTGCCAAGCTTCTTTCACTTAGGATAATACCCTCCAGTTCCATTCATGCTCTCTCAAAGGGTAGGAGTTCCTTCTTTCTTTCCAATGCAGAGTATAGTATTCCATTGTGTAAATGTACTGGTCTATCTGAAAGGGGGCTCTGCCCTGGCCTGGTGGCTCACTCAGATGGAGCATCGTCCTGTGCACCAAAAGGTTGTGAGTCACAACAGATCAATTTTCTCATGTCGATTTCCCTCTCTCCCTTCCTCTCTAAAATCATTACAGGTATTACAGTGAGGATTAAAAAAGAAATAAAGAGGAGTCATTAATTAACACCTAACGTGGCTGCAGTTTGCATTTTTTTCTTGTCATGGGAACATTCAGCAAATGCTTTTACACTTCGCTTTGTAGTTGATCATGTAAAAGGGCTCCAGGCTTTCCCACCCAAGCGCCCCAACTTTCCCCTCCTCTGACCTCCCTTGTGTGTATCACTGTCCTCATCTGGAAAGTAGTTTGTTTGCTAGGACGAAATGCCTTTGTACATCTAAATGGTACAAATCAGGCCAGACCACTAGGAGAAGGCAAGGGCAGAAACAGGAGGAGCCACCTGAGTAGATCTCCATGTGCTCTGGGCAATGGCAAGGTGGCAGTTGAGGCCACATTTCCTTGGTAACCGAGCTCCTGTAAGAACTTGGAGAATGCTATCCTGAACGAAGATAACCTACCCTGGTCAAGAGGTCAGCTGAAGGAAGGGAGTATTGCACTGAGTAGACGCAATGATAGCAAGATGATTGGATAGGGGAAAAGTCCTCTTATCTCCTACTGGTATCTTACTGTGGGCTGGACCAGGGAAGACAGGCACACAAAAGGCAGCTGTCGGCGCCAGGGAGGTGCAGGAATGAAGACTAGCCTGTCAGTCTACCCTGGGGAAAACAAGTGATTGGTATTGGGTAAACCGCCAGATCCCCAGCACGACGGAAACTTGGGAGTAAATGCTATTCGGCCCGTCCCACACCAGAAACTAATATAAACGCAGGATAAAGAGGGGCCGTTCTCTTGCTCATCTGGAGAACGTATTACCTGGTGAGTTGGCAGGATCTTGTGGCCCTGGAAGTGGCCTGGCTGACGTCGGGGCCTGCGGGTTCTAAGACAGAACCTGAAACCTGACAGTGGCTGGGAGCGAGCTGAGCCGCCTGGGTGACAGCTCAGCGACACCTGCTATTTCCAAAAGGCAGCACTTTGAATGGGAACAGCACCTCTGGAAGCTGCCTTCTCAAGTGGTCTGGCTAAGGACGGCTGGGTTTTCCCTCGGGTTTTTCGGAGGTTTTCATTCAGATGCTGGGCTTTGAGCATCTGAATGAAAACCCTCTTTCTTTTCTCACCAGCCTCTGCCTCTAGAACTTGCCTATTGGGGGCGACGGGCAGCGGAACCGACCCCTTTGGTTCTGTAACAGTAACACACCCTGAAAAAAGAGCTGGCACTTAACGCGAAGGGCCGGTACTTCTTTTCTGGTTACAATCCTTCTGGGTGGACGCAGGATGTCTGCGGAGGGGCTACAGCGTCTTTTCCCTCCTCTACCCATACCACGGCTTTTCTGCAATTTCCCTCCCCCTTCCCCCTCTCCAGCTCGCTCTGCTCCGGGTCCCGAACCCCATCTCCATTCACCTTCTCTTTCCGTCTCCTCCGATCCCTGGCCCCCAGCCCCTCCCCGACCTCACTCCTGCCAGGCCCCCAACGTGCTCTGTCGCCTTCCGCCCACACTGCTGGGAAACCCTCTCGGCTCAGTTCCCTTCCCAGGTGCGCCAGACTCCCTGCGTGATTTCTTGACCCCAGTGCCCCGGGGGCTTCTGGGAGGTGAAGCCTTGGCCATCATTTCCCTTTCTGGTCCTCTCCGGGTCCCTGGCTCTGAGGGAAGCCGTAATTTACATGAGGGTGGCGCGCGGGCTTCTGGGAAGTGTAGTTGTAAGGTCCGCGCAGGCGCATTGTGAAGGGGGCTCTAGTGGCGGCCCTTCACTTTCCTGAGGTAGTCAAGCGTGTCCGGAAGCTGATCTGCAAGGGCGTGAGGTGACGCGAGCGGGTAGATGCGGATCGGGGCGGAGTCTTGCAGGCGCGGGTGATGCCTGTGGCAGTGTGAGTGGGTGTGAGGGTGTGTTGCGCCGTGAGTGTGTCTCGGTGTTTGCCCCCCATGTGTCCGGGTGGCCTCCAGTGCCTCACCTTTGCTTGTGTGTGTGTGTCGGCTGCCTGCCTTGGTCTCTCCGGAGTCCCTCTGTGTCCAAGACTGTGTGCGTGCCTGCTTTTGTTTCATCCGCAGTATCCCTGGGTGAGGGCGCATCCAGGTGTCCACCTGTGCCTTGTCTCATCCCGTGGGCCTGTGTGTCTGGTGTGAGTGTGTCTGTGGGTGTGGGTGTCTCTCCTGTCCCAGCCTTCCCCTGTGTGCTGCTGCACCTCTGTCTCTGGGCATGGCTGACATGTGTGAGTGGGTGCGTCGGGGGTGCCCTCCCGAGGGCGTGGGGAAGACGGTCCTCCTGGACAGGCGGCCTAGTGGAGCTGCCTGCCTGTGGGCCCCAGAGCCCATCTCCTTCCCGCCCTCAGAGCCTCCTCTGTCCCTGGGAGGGCAGGACATGTGTGGTAGCAAGGAGTAGGGCTAAGAAAGAGGGTCAAAGACCCCTACCTCATGCTGACCTGGGTGGGTGTGTTCAGGGAGTGTGTGTTGGGTACTCAGGGTATCGTTTTGGGCATTTCATAGCCTGCCGGTAACAGATAGGGACCTTCACCTTCCCGATTGTGCAGGTAGGGAAACAGAGGCTCAGAGACTTTAAGTGAATCACGTCCAGGTTCTCTGTTTCAGAGCTCCGACACTCACCACCCCATAGATGGCAAATCTTTGTTTCCCCTTAGAAACAATGGGCAGAAGGAAATGCCAGAAACCTTGGATAGAGGAGGAGTTACTGGAGCAGCCGCCACACCTGGCTCTGCAGATACAGATTCTATGCCACACTGGGTTCAGAAGTCACAACCCCCATGGATGTGCATGGCCTCTGTGCCTTCATGGCATCCTTTTAAATGGAAGAATTTAGAATTATTATTGTATTGCTATGACAAAAATAGTCCAGACTCGATGCAATTCACGTTTTCTCTTACAATATTAAAAAGATGATGATATTATCAAGGGCTCATACAGATGTCAGGGTCCCTGGTCCCACTGTGCCTCCTGGGTAAGTTGGCTTTGGGGGCTTCCTGGTCCTGCAATAGCAGCCTGTGTTATTGCCCTCGTGGAGCAGGGATATGAGACAGAAACTGTCCACACAGAATACATTTATAAGAATTCTGTGTAAAAAATCATGAAGTCACTGCACACAGGGATATAACATAACTCCTGCTTCTGGGAGGCGACCTGGAATTTGAGGTGGACACCTGGCATTTATCCATATATACAGGTTTGGTTGGTTCATTGGTAGGTTGCTATTTGGTTCTAGGAACAGTGCTACAGTAAACATCATTTATATGGTTATGTATTTGTTGATTTTTAGAAAGGGAGATAGAGAGAAGCATTGATCAGTTGCCTCCCACTGGCACCCTAACCTGTGATCAGGAATGAAACCCACAACCAAGGACCAGGCCACCACCTGGGATTGACCCTGACCTTTTGAGTTCAGGATGATGCTCCCACCAGTGCAGTCACACGGCTCCAGGCTCTGTACATGTGTTTGATTAGTGAGCCTCACAGTAACCCCAGGAGATCTGGAGGGTGTTTTGGTGTTGGGATGTCTTCTGGGTCAGGGCCAGCACTCAGACCCAGGGCAGAGGCTGAGGGTGCCTGTTCCTCCCTCCAGGCTGTGGGAGTAGCTGTGTGTACATGGTGTGTGTTGGGGGAGCGTCAATGTGTGGGTGTGATGTGTGCAGGAAGCACATGGACCCTGATATACTCAGCTCAACCCTAATCCCACCCTTTACCTTCTTGGGCACATTTCTTATCTTGTGGGCCTCAGTTTCTTCATCTGTGAAATGGGGTGAGTGGAAATAGCCCCCACTGTGTAGGGTGTGGGGAGGATTAAATCAGAGATGTTTGTCCAGTGCCTTGGATGCATAGGCCTCCCGCATGCATTTACTATTAATGTGTGTGTGTGTCCCTGTCTGACTGTCTTCTAGTGGGTATCGGTGTGTTCTGTCTGCACTATGGGTCAGGCCTTGACCTGGTCTCTCACTGTGCCTTTCTCTTTCTTCCCCTTACACAGCACCCTCATCCACTGGTCACCATGGGCACTGGAAGGATGGCCACCCAGCCACTGACCACGAAGGCCCTGGTGAGTCATGTCACCCTTTCAACCCTCCTTCCTTAGGGTCAGGCTTCTGGACAGTGATGACCCTCTGCAAGTCCAAACCCCTCAGGGTCCAGGCCCATGTACAGGTCTCCTGGGGTTGTGTCCACCCTGAGTTGAGAGAGCCCTGTCTTGACACTGGCTGTTTTCTACTACAGGGAACAGAATAGCTTGGGAGTGACCTGTCTTACCCTGGAGGCTCTCAGGAGACACCAGTGGGCACCTGGGAAGTGGTGGCTTAAATATATTTGATAAAATGTGACAGAGGCTCCGAGCAGGGCATGCTTGGTGAGGGACCTTCAGAAGTGGGCAGGCGGCACTGAATGGGAGGGGACTGGATAGGGATGGGTGGAAGACGTCTGTAGTGAGGGACCCATGAATGTCTCTGGTTGTGGCCATGTTTTATGATGCTTTAGTGGGGGGCTATTTGTGGTATTTTTTTTCTAAATTTCATTCTATGGAAGAAATACTTTATAATAAAAACATACAGATGTAGTAGCTAAGTTTGTGAGAGGAGCATCTTGGTATGCCAAAGTTGTGAGTTTGATCCATAGTCAGGGTACATATGAGAAGCAATGAATTTAACAGTATGTGGAATGACATCTCTTTCTCTCTCTGTCTCTCAAATCAATACTTTATATACATATATACATATATACATATCTGGGAGTGAATCTTTTTTTATCATCGCCAGATGAAGTGTTCACTGAGTTTTAAGGAGAGAAGAAGAGAGTTAGAATCATAGATGTGAGAGAGAAACATCAATCAGTTGCCACCCGCACACTTCCTAACTCTGGATGAAACCCACATTTGATGTACTGGATGATGCTCCAACCCACTGAGACACCTGCCCATGCTTGAATAAATCTTTTCCCTACATTGTGTATGGATTTTTTGTTTTGTTTTTCTTCTTTATTTTCTTTTACTTTTTAATAGATTTTTTAAAAAGATTTTATTTATTTTTAGAGAGGCAAAGGAAAGGAGGAAGAGAGGTAGAAAAACATCAATGCGTGGTCGCATCTTGCACACCCCTACTGGGGACCTGGCCTGAAACACAAGCATGTGCCCTGACTGGGAATTGAACCCAGTGACTTTTGGTTCTCAGGCCAGCACAATCCACTGAGCCATACCAGCCAGGGCCTGTTTTCTTTCTTTTTTTTTTTTAAATTATGGAGGGTGGAGCAACTGTGTAAAGGTTTTATTTATATTTTAGGGAGAGGGGAAGGAGGGAGAAATAGAGGAAGAGAAACATGGATGTACAAGACAAACATCAATGGGTTGCCTCTTGTTCATCCCCAACTGGGGGCCTGGCCTGCAACCCAGGCTTGTGCCCTGACTGGGAATCAAACAGGAGAGTTTTTGGTTCACAGGCCAGGGCTCAGTCCACTGAGCCACACCAGCCTGGGCTTTATGATTTCTTTGCTGGCGATTCCTTGCACAGGAACCTTGAGGTGAGTATTTTTAAGGCCTTTCAGAACTGTTCATAATTACGAGTTAGGACAGTTTATTCTCAAGCCACTGTGCAGCAGGGGCTGCCAGTATTTCACATTGCAGTTTATTGGGTGCTTATTTTGCTTACTGAATATTAATAACAAGTGGTATAAGCTATCCTCGTCATTGGTGGCAACTGATGTCATGTCTTTCTGAGTAGCATCATTTGTGGCATTAGTGAGGCTTGTTTTGTAGAAAATGTTTATTTGCCATTTATGTATATGGGCAAATTATTCTGTGCTTTGCTGGTCCTCAGGAATCTTAGTATTCTGGAAGGTTTTTATTGTTTTAAGATTTTATTTATTTTTAGAGAGAAGGGAATGGAGGGAGAAAGAAAGGAAGAAAAACATCGATTGGTTGCCTCCCATATGTGCCCAAACTGTGGACCACACCCTCAACCTTTGGTGGACAAAGTTTCAGTCAGCTGAATCACTCTGTGAGGGCTGGATATTTCTTATCAGTGGAATCACACAACATGTGGTTTTTGTATCTGGCTCTTTCCCCTGAGCATCATGTTTCTGATGTTCCTCTATGTTGTAGTAAGAGTCTCTTTTCATGGCTGTATACTATTCCACTGTACAGGTAGACCCTGTGTGTGCACATTTATCAGGTGGTGTACACTTGGGTTGTTTCCACTTTTTGGTTGTTATTAGCAATGCTGCTGTGAACATTCATGTACAGTTTTTGTTTGAGGTTCTTATTTCTCTGGGTGTAGTAGTTGAAATTAATGGATCATTTGATAACAGTACATTTAACTCTTTAGGGAATGATCTGACTGTTTTCCAACGTGTCTGCACCATGATGTCTCCACTGTTACCTTCTCTATGATGGTTGCCTTGGTTTCCTCCTTCACCAACATTGTTTAGAATTTCCTCATGGTTGTCATTTTTGTGTGGTTGGGGTTTAGGGGTTCAATTTCTTTTTCTTATTCTCTTTTAGTCTAATTATATTCTGATTTTTCTAAAAAATAGAGCCTGACCTGGCTTGAGGCTCAGCTGGTTAGTGCATTGTCCTTTATACCAAAATGTTCTGGGTTTGATCTCTGGTTGGGGCACATGCATGAGGCAAACAGATCACACATTCTCTCTCTCTCTGACCCTGCCTTCCTCATACTGTAAAATCATTAAATATACCCTGGGGTGAGGATTAAAAAAATAGAGCCTAATTTCAGTTGTATGGAACTGGGTGAGGTTTTTCCTTGTGGAAGTGGTTTGTGCCATTAGACAAGAATCCATAACAGATGGAGCCCTAGAAGGTGAGGCCTCAGACACGTGTCCACAGAGCACTCAGAGGGCTTTGGTGCATGTGGAGGGACCCCATGTCTTTTTTTTTTTAATTTTTAAAAATATATTTTATTTATTTATTTTTAGAAAGAAGGGAAGGGAGGGAGAAAGATGGAGAGAAACATCAATGTGTGGTTGCCTCTTGCATGCCCCCCACCAAGGGCTTGACCTGGTCTGCATCCCAGGCATGTGCCCTAACTGGGAATTGAATTGGTGACACTTTGGTTGCAGGCCAGCACTCAGTCCACTAAGCCACACTAGCCAGGGCAGAATCCCCATTTCTAGGGGAATCTCCCCACTTTTCTGAGGCAGGCCCAGTTCAGTTCTCACCTCCACACCGTTGATGTACAGTGTAGGCTCCCAGATGCCCAGGACCTTCTGGTTTTCAACCTGTCCCAGCCTGGGCTTGGTGCATACACTCTGCTTGGTAAAAATTTCATTGAGTGAATTCATTCAGTTGGGAAGACTTCGGGAAGATTTCCTCCAAGATGTATATATGTAAAACATTAAAATGAAATAAGTACCACAATAAAGTGGGGCTAGAGGAAACTTTGGGAGGTGATAAAGTAAAAGACACATTTTTCATTTTCACCAATAACTTTATTGATTTGGATATTTTAAGTATGTCAGCTATCTCGGGCTATTGGCTTCCAGTGGGTAGAGGCCGGGGTGCTGCTAAATATCTTCCAACGCATAAGACAACACCTGAGCAAAGAATTATTTTGCCAAAATGTCAATAGTACCAAGACACTTTGCCAACCACTTATGACACATTAGATCAGTCATAGCATGTTCTCTATATACTGCTCAAATCTTTTGCATTTTAGTTTTATTTATACCTCTCATAATAATCAAACAAAATACGTCAGAAGTGTTACATATTTTCTTCTATCTTCACTATGAAATGGCTGCACAAAAATTCACTAATTTTTATAAGTTTTTTATAAATGCATGCTGATAATGCACGCTAATATGACAACTGTTACAATAAATTGTTTCCAATGAAGATAAGGACAACTAAGCACTATTATATCCAGTATACAGAAAAAATATAACAGACTTTTTGGCCAATGAAATACTTCCAAATTTGTCAAATTCTATACCTCTATAATATGCAGCATTTAGTATACCAATCATACTTAATTAAGTGGTTTAAAAAAAAAGAAATTATTGCCCTGGCTGGGTAAGGGCAACAACCTTGTTGGAGTATCATCCTGTGAACCAAAAGGTTGCGGATTCGATCCCCCGTCAGGGTGTGTTTAGGAGGCAGTTGATTGATGTTTCTCTGTCACACTGATGTTTCACTTTCTCCCTGTTTCTATCCCTTAAGTCAGTAAATATACAGAAAAGGATTACAAAAGAAAGAAATTTTTCCCTTTTCCTTACCAAAGGATGAATGGAGCAAAGAATCAAAAAGAATAATGTAAAATAGGTATTAATGATAAGGAACATATAAAAAAAGATATATGAAATGTCCTACTAATTAAATGAAAAGAGCAATAATTGACATTTCCGAGGTCTTCCTGCAGCCAAACCACACTGTGGAATCACAGACGTGTGACCTCATTTAACCTCATAGCAGCTACAGAGTGGGGTATTGTTACTAGGAGGTCCATTGAACTAAGGGGCTCAGAAAGTTTAAGACAGTTGTGTGATGAAACACAGCTGAGGAGGTTGGGGACAGAGGCAGAATTTCATTGCAGGCTCCCAAGCCCAGTCTGTGAACCACTGACTGCCTGGTATTCTCCTTCATCACGTGGTTGTGGTCCCAAGACAGAGGCAGCCAAGGTGAGCCCAGAGTCCCTGGCAGGTACTTGGAGCACAGAGGGATTGGCCCGCAGGTGAGGCCTCCTCTTAGGGAGGGTGAACCGTGGTTCATGGTCTATGACAGATATGTTACTCTGCTTGAGTGAGGGGCTGCCCTAACAAGCACCAGAGAAAGGGAGGCTTGAACAACAGGAATCAGTTTTCCCACAGTTCTGGGGTGTGGAAGTTGAAGTTCAGGCCTCAGCAGGGCACTGCCCCCTCTGAGGGCACCAGAGAAAGGTCTATTCCCAGCATGACTCCCAGCTCTTGCTAGTCCAGGGCCTCATGTCACTATAACCTCATTCACACATGATGTGTCCCTGTGTGCATGTCTCTGTGTCCAAGTTTCTCCTATTTATAAAGACATTAGTCCTATGGCCTTAGGGGCCACCCTTCTCCAGTGTGACCTCATCTAACTCAATATACCTGCAATATCCCTATTCCCAATCAGGTTCCATCCTGTGGTACTGAGTGTAGGCACTTCCACACAGGAACTCAACATGAAACTGAACTGGTAACATGACTTAGACTAAAACCTGGCTCTGAGGAACACCCAGTGAGTGACAGGTGTCTTTACTGCTGTGTTGATGACATTGTGGTCATCATGTCCTCTCGTCGTCCAACAAGCTTCTGAGCCACATTCAGTTCCTGCACAGGGAGGGTCATGGCATAAGATCCTCAGTGCTCAGCTGCCTTTTAAGCCTCAGATCTTGACCCACCTGCCCCTAACTGGAATATCCCCCTAACGACCCAACCACAGACCACCCTTTCCAGCGCCAGGATGTCTGCTACAGCTGCCCTTGCTCTGAGCTGTCATGATGGCGTTGACTAGTTGTTCTGAGATCTTCCATTTGACAGGTGTGAGATGATATCTGAATGGGGTTTGAAGTTGTAGTTTTCTTGTGAATAGTGATGTTGAGTATCTTTCATTGGTTTGTTGGTCATATTCATGTCCTCTAGGGAGAAGTGTCTATTCAGGCCCTTTGCCCATTGTATAAGTGGATTGTTTCTGTTTCTGGTGAGCAGCCCTGTGGTTTATTTGTCTCTCTGAGGACCATCCAGTGTGCTTAGGCACCAAGGATACTGAGTGGTCAGGCCCTTCAGAGCTCTGAACCTTGTCAACACCACGTCAGGTGCATCCTGTGTGCCTTTGTGATCTTTTCTGCCTTTCTGGTCACATCCCCAACTTCTGTGAGGAGGGCCCTGTGGTGAGTGATGTGTGCTTCCTCTTACAGGAGTCTGTGGCGTTCAGGGATGTGATGGTGGACTTCACCCAGGAGGAGTGGCAGCAGTTGAAGCCTGTTCAGAAGGACCTGTACAGGGATGTGATGATGGAGATCTACTGGAACCTGGTCTCGCTGGGTAAGGGGGCAGCTTCACTGCATTACTCACCATCTGCTTGTCACTTCAGGATGACACACAAATAGAAAAGGTGGACAGATCTGACTTGGTAGGACATTCAAGTTACTTGAAGCTAAAAGTAAAGTTGATAGGTGATGAAGTAGGGAACAGTATGTACTGTATGCATAACAGTCAGAGGATTATAAATACATAAAGAGCTCTTAAGAATAAATGAGAAAAAGACTGAATGAATGATAGAGAGATGGATCTAGCTAATGAGCATGCAACTCCCAGATGTAGATATGCATGGAGTTACACTTTACACAAGATTTATAAACCTTACTAATAGTCAAAGAAGTACCAGTGGAGTCACAGAAATATAGTTCTTGTCCATGATGTACACAGAGATGAAAAAGAATACCATCCCTGGCCCACTGTGGCTCATTTTGTCATCCCATACACCAAAACGCTGTGACTTTGATCCCCAGATGGGTACTTACAGGAAGCAACTTACGTGGAAGCAAGGATCCATGTTCCTCTCTCTCATCAATTTTCTCTCTTTCTCTGCCTTTCTCCCCATCTCGTCCTCCTCACCCACCTCCATCCTCCCTAAGTATATCCTGGATGAGGTATAAAAAAAAGAGTAACATCATCCTGTATTATGAGGGTGCAGGGAAAGGGACTCCTCACTTTAGGAGCATGAATTGGGACAACTCATTTGGAAAACAGTTTGGTGTTTTCACCTAAATTTCAAACGATTCCATTTCTAGAATATAGCCTTAAAATTTTTTCTATAAGTGTGCAGAGTTTTTCCATAAGAAGAAAAATCAAGAGAAATGCTGTAGGTGCCCACCTATGAGATTCACCAAACAAATCATTGTGTAGCAATACCATGGCTATGATGATGTTCTTCCAAGATGAACACTCTTCGAGGTCACTGATACAGAAACATGTGCCTGGATAATATTTTCAGGAAAACAGTAACTTGCAGAATTAGTATATGGTCCCATTTCATTAACAACTTTTCTGGAGGTTTACCTGATCTCCAGTAAACTGCACATAGTTAAAGTGAACAATTTGATGTATTTTAACATTTGTATCTGTCGAAGACATCAGACGTGTCCATTATCCCAAAAAGTTCTTTCCTTCCCCCACCCTCCATCCCTTGGCCACCACTGTGGTTTAGTTTGCCTGTTCTAGGATTTCATGTATATGGAATCACATGGCACATACACTTTTATTTTTATCTGATTTCTTACATTTGGCATCATTTCTTTGAGGTTTGCCCACATTGTCCATGTGTATCAAGAGTTCCCTCCCTTCCTTCCTTCCTTCCTTCCTTCCTTCCTTCCTTCCTTCCTTCCTTCCTTCCTTCCTCCCTTCCTCCCTTCCTTCCTTCCTTCCTTCCTTCCTTCCTTCCTTCCTTTCTTTCTTTCTTTTCATTCTTTCTTTCCTTTTGTTTTTAAATCCTCACTGGAGGATATGTTTATTGATTTGAGAGAGAGAGAGAGAGAGAGAATGAGAAAGATCAATCAGTTGACTCCCATTCAGGTCCTGACCTAGGATCAAACCAACAAAATCCTTTCTGCTGAGAATGGTTGGGTCATGCAAATGTGCATATTTTACATTTTCAAAAGCTGTCAAACTTTTTTCAAAGCCTTTGTTTTGTTTTTTATATATCTACCAGTACTCAGGGGGAATTTCATTGCTTTGTGTGCTTGTCAGAACTCAACATGCTGAGTCTCTCTCCCATTGCAGCCATTCTCATGGGTGTACAGTCTTACTGCACTGCAGCTGGCAGCTGGTACTGAAAACCTTTCAAGGTGCTTCTTTGCCATCAGCATATTCTCTTCAGTGAAGTGTCTGATTCAAGTCTTTTTAAAAAATATTTTATTTATTTTTAGAGAGGGGAAGAGAGAGAGAGAGAAACATCATTGTGTTGTTGCCTCTTGCACACCCATCACTGGAGACCTGTTCTGCAACCCAGGCATGTGCCCTAGACTGGCAACTGAACAGGCAAACCTGTGATTTGCAGGACGGCACTCAATCCACTGAGCAACACCAACCAGGGCTGGTTCAAGTCTTTGGCCTGTGTGTTTAGCTGGGTTGTTTGCTTTTTTATTATTCACTTTTCAAAATTATTTACATATTTTTTGTTGTTGTTAATTCTTGTTTTAAGTCCTTTATCAGATATGTGCTTTGCAACTATTTCTCCTACTCTTTGGGTATTTTTTTCTCTTCCTCACTGGCATCATTTGGAATGCAAACATTTTTAATGGTGATGGGGTCTAGTTATTTATTTTGTTTTGCTTGTGCTCTTGGTTTCATATCTGAGGGGCCATTGCCTTACCTACCACCATGAAGATTTACTTCTCTTTTGTCTACAAGTTTTAGAATTTTAGCTACTTATTTAGGGGTTTGGTCCATTTTGAGTTAATTGTTGTGAATGTTGTATAAAGGAGCTAAGGTCACTGTTTTTGTTTTTTAAATGAAGTTCATTGTGGTGATGTTGGCTAATGGGATCCAATAGGTTTCAAGTGTACATTTCCATGATAAATGATCTGTATGTTACATTGTGTTCCCACTACCCAAAGTCACATCATCTTCAATCATCACATGTTGTGCTCTTTTGAACGTGCATACCCAGGTTCCCCAGCACCATTTGTTGATGAGCAGAAGTTTGTAATTTGATGAAATCCAGTTTTTCAATTACTTTCTTCAGGTTTGCAGTCTGACCACATTCACAAAGGAGACTCTTCTCTCCAATCTCTGCAGCCACAGACCAGTTATGTCCCCAGTGTATCTCAGACGCATGGGCCCCAAACACATCCATTGTCCCCCTCCTTCCCTCTTCCCCCTGGAAAGTTACCCTCAGCCTCCATGTCCCAGGCCACCACCTTCTCTGACATCTGGCATCACCTCCCCGTATCTCAGGGTCATGAAACCAGGATCACTGTACCTTACGTGCTTCTCAAATCCTTTCCTCCAGGATAGAATAGTTAGAGGGGCCAGACAGTGACTCAGGGATGGCACTGCAGTATGGAATGTGCTGGGTGATCTTGAGGGTGTGGCTCCATTCTCAGAGGCTCAGTTTCCCCATCTGTACATTGGGAGTAATCTTACCAGCACCTAGTCATGTGCTGTGAGGGGTACTTCCTACCATGCCCACACGTGGCCAACACTCATTGAAGGTTTATCAGGTGCCTTCTGTGTGCTGGACACTGTGTGGGAGCTGAGGACTGGTGAGACCCTTGCCTTCATGGAGGTCACCTCCCGCTCTGGGAGCTGGCAGTGCGCACATCAAGGAAGAGAGCCTGTAATGGGTGCTCACAATGACACAGGCGAGAGAGAGGCAGGCACTAGCTTCCTTTTCACAGTAGGGTAGACGGAGAAGGCCTCCTTGTGGGGAACAAAGGCTCACTGAGGCTTGAGCTCCCATTGGAGTAGTTGGGGTAAGGGCAGGAACAAAGGCCCTGAAACAGGAAGCACTGGGCACACACAAGGAAATCAGAGGGAAACAAGGATGAGTAGGGCTGGATTGCAGACAGGGGTAGGGAAGAGGGAATGTGTTGCCTCTGGACACCAGGATACTGGGAAGATGCTGGAAGGTTTGGTCTGACTTGGAGGTCCTCTTCCCACGGAGTGGACCTTGGGTTGTAGAGAGGGGAAGAGACAGCTGCATTGGCAGCAGTGGTGGTGTGTCCAGTTCACGTTGTTGTCATGTGTGGTAGCATTTGTTAACAGTGTGGACAGTGGGAGGGAATGGGTGAGTCAAGGATGATGCTAAATCTTTTTTTTTAATTATAAAAAATTTGTTTCTTTTTAAAAAGCTCTTTGTTTATTTATTTTTTTTTAGAGTGTGGGGGAAGTGGAAAGAGAGGGAGAGAAACATTGACATGGTAGAGAAACATCGATGGGTTGCCTCTTATATGCCCCAACTGGGGACCTGACCCATCTCCCTTGCACGTGCCCTGACAGGGACTCAAACCTGCAACCTTTTTGTCTACAGGCCACCTCTCACTCCACTAAACCACACAAGCCAGGGAAAAATTTATTTTCTCAATGGTTATAAAACATATATAACATAAAGTTAACTGTTTAACTATTTTGACGTGCACAGTTCCATGTGTGAAGTACAATCTTATGTTCAACCATCACCACCATCATGACCAGAATTCTTAATTGTCCTTTATTCTATACAGCTGACAATCTGTCACCTGTAAAGAATAGCTTCCCCTTTTACTTCCCCAAGCATGGGCTCCCATGTACTTTCTGTCTGTATCAATTTGATGGTTTTACTTGCCTTATATGAGTGGAATCATATAGTACTGGCCATTGTGTGTCTGACATATTTTGCTAAGTTCTTTGTATTATTTGGGACTGGAGGTTCTGAAATCAGGTTTCACATCCAGTGTGTTAGGTTGGTGTACTGGACAGGGTGTCCATTAGGCCTTGGATTATTCCTCAGCCGAGCTCAGAGAGGGGGTCTGGGTAGGGTCATCTATTTAGGAGATGTCAGCATAGAGAAGAGACACAAATCTGGCCTTCTAGTACTCAGGGGATGGTGTCAAACTCGTATGTTGTGGGGCCAGTGGGGGCTTAAATGGGAGACGAAGGACAGCTGCTTACTGTTTCTGCTTTCTTTGTTGCCTCTCAGGAAGGAGGGCTCCATGTGGCCAGATCTTCGCTGTTTGAATGAGATTCTCCCCAAAGTTCTCACAGTTTTTAATGTTGGGAAGAACCCTGATGTCCATGTGCAGAGTCCAGAACCCGGTATAGTCCCCTAGGTGGGAACAGTGATTGAGGATCCCACGGGACACACTCAGGAGAGGACTGGAGCAGCTGTGGTTGGCAGGAAGGGACAAGTGTGCAAAGAGGAGGGTGAGAATTCAGTAGCCAGGGCCGGGACACTCCTGGGCAGCATAGGAAGGTGGGAGCCTAGCTGGCCTGTGGTGACACAGAGAATGATCAGCACACCTGCATGTGAGTCAGTTCTTACTTTACTGTTTCTAATTACAGTCAATGGTTTGAGAAGCACAGCTGGTGGGGGGCATGCAGGATGAGGCTGGGAAGCCAGGAACAGGGTGCAGTGAACCCTCACTGGGTTTGCAGGAACCTTGAATCTGCTCCTCCAAGCCCGCTCTCCTCCTTTTTCTCTAAAGGTCTTACTGCCCAGCTCTGAGCTCCCTGGCTACCTTTGCACCCACTTCCAAGGAGACCTTTCTTGGTCTGTGCTCACCTCCATACAATATATTGTCTCAGCTCACTGCTTCCTTTTGCCCTCTGTCCCCTGATGGTTTGTTCACTACTCTCAGCCTGTACCTTGTGTCTTGGGAAGATCCTCTCTGCCTTGGTTAACTACATGTGTGTCCTCATCTCTTTCCCCCTCCCCTCAGACTTGGAGACTAGACCTGACACAAAAGAATCAGACCCACAGGAGAACAGCTGTGAAGACAGACCATCCATTGCTGTAGTGGCCAAAAGACCTATGAAGAATGGTGACGGGAATTGTGCTTGTGAAGGAGCAGGGTCACAGGAAGACTGGGTGGGATGGGAACAGGGGAACCCAAGAACCTGTCTGGGGCCATTGGACAAATCCTACACGTTAGCCCCTGAATGTCGTGAATTTAAGGCATTTGTGCCCCAAAGCCTCATGCCAGCCCCACTGAGATCTGAAGGACCAAGAGGATCAGGGAAGTACCTGTTCACCACATGTAGGAATAACTCAAGTACTTCAAGCCTTGGACCTCGCTCCAAATTCAGCACAGATAAGAAGTCCTGCAATAACAGGGACTATGGCAAGACTTTCAGCTGTAGCTCATCCCCAAAAGAACAGCAACAAATCCATAACAGGGAGAAGCCCTTCCCCTGCACCACATGTGGGAAGCAGTTTACCTCTGGGCAGTCTAATGTCACCCTCCACCAGTGTGTGCATACTGGGGAGAAGACATACAAGTGTGGGCAGTGCAGCAAGGCCTTCAGGGAAAACAGAAGCCTAATTGCACACCAGAGGATGCACACTGGGGACAAGCCGTATTCATGTGAGTTCTGTGGAAAGGCCTTCACCCGAAACAAATACTTCATCAAGCACCAGAGCATACACACTGGGGAGAGGCTATATCCTTGTGTGGAGTGTGGAAAGGCTTTCAGCCAGAAATGGAAACTCAACCTACACCAGAGGATACACACTGGAGAGAAGCCTTACCTGTGCAGGCAGTGCAGCAAGACCTTCACCCGGAATAGGAGCCTCATAGTGCATCAGAGGTCACACACAGGGGAGAAGCCTTACAAGTGTGCAGAGTGCAACAAAGCCTTCAGTGATAACAGGAGCCTCATCCTGCATCAGAGGACACACACAGGGGAGAAGCCATACAGGTGCAGTGAGTGCAGCAAGGCCTTCACCAGGAACGAGTACCTCATCACACACCAGAGGACACACACTGGGGAAAAGCCATACATGTGCGAGGACTGTGGCAAGGCCTTTAGAATGAACAGGAATCTTATAGTGCACCAGAGGATACACACTGGGGAGAAGCCATATGCGTGCAGGGACTGTGGCAGGGCCTTTACCAGGAACGAGTACCTCATCGCACACCAGAGGACACACACTGGGGAAAAGCCTTTTACCTGTCGCCAGTGTGGCAAGTCCTTCAGGCAAAAGTCTTCACTCTGGAGGCACAGCCTTGTGCACACCAGGGGGTAGCCCTACCAGTGCCTCACGCCAGAAGTGCTTCATGGGGTTCTCAACCCTGCAGGAGCACCAAACCAACCACACATTAGAGAAGCCCTATAAGTGTACCCAGTGCAGCAAAGCCTAGGTCAGGAACTTCTTCATCCCTCTCCACCACAGGATGTACATGGGAGACAAGCCCTACACATGGGGCAAGTGCAGAACATCTTGTAGCCTGTCAAGGCTAGCAGGTTCACTTTGGATTCAGGCAGATGGAAAAAAGTTGTGGAGCCCTGGGGATGCTTGACATGCCTTTACTCAATGGTGGGCAATCCATGCATGCTGCAAGCTGCATGTCCCCCTTATATATTAAATACAGACAAAGCCAGTGGAGAGCCAGAATATTGTATAACAGCATGATTCTGTGCCTATGAGCTTTCTCAGTGTTATGGGAACAGATTATTGGACCCGGTCTCAAGGCTATGAGGACATAGCTTACCTTAGTTTCCCAGATAGCTGGATGAGGGAATCAGACTGCCTCCATTTATCCTACACAGAAAACCTTCATCAGGACCTTCAACCTCATGCTACACCAGAGGAGGTTACACACGTATAAGAGGGGCAGGGAATCTCAGAAGCCCCACACTACTGGGAGGTCTTGAGCCCTTGGGCAAGTGCAAGACTTGACATTTGGAGCCCATGGGTAGGACACAAGAAAAGTTATGCCCAGACAGGTCCTAGGGATGTGAGCTTTGGAGATAGCCACACTATGCTCACCATTTGCTTCCATAGCATCTGTATGGCTATGTGGAAAGTAAGTCCCCCTATAGGTTTGGTATCTGGGAGCATGGCCAGGGCCACTGTGGCTGAAGACTGAACTGGGGTAAACTGTTGTATGGGTTTGGACAAGGCATTTCATGTCTCAGGTTTTCTATCTCCTTGATAGTAAAGTGGAGAATTAGGAGGAGGAAGGAAAGGGCAGGTGGGCTCCATGGGGACATTGTCACTTTGTCATACATGCCTGTATGTTTGCTCATTTTCCCCACACCTAGTCCCTTGTTTCCCTGCAACACCAACTGGAGAGTCTCACCCTTGTAATCTGTAGAATTTACCAGGTGGGTCACGAGGAGAAAAACTTTGGAGGGGATTAAGAATTAACAGAAGTTGCTTCATATATCAAAGTTTCTCATAGTGATGTACTAAAAATTCTTTTAAAATAAGACTTTAATTAAATGAGACCAGTGTCATTTTAAACAGTTGCAGGTACAAAACATGCAGGGACCAGTTGTCCTGTCCAAATCAGTATCAGTGATTGGGGAGAGGGAACATGAATACTCCACAGGAACCCCCAGAAACCAGCAACCTACCCTAGTGCACCTGGTCCTCGCAGCCAAGGATTCCTGGCTTGGGAATGGTCACAATACATCTCAGGCCTGTTATCAAAGCAGGTATCCTTGGGGTTTGCTTGTCTCCCATGACAAAGGAGAAATATGAGCAGGAAATTACATCTGTCCATCGCCCCTCCACACATATACTCCCACCAGCAGCATGAGGAGACTCAGTGATATCTTAATCACTGAAACTTTAAGGGAGACCAATGTCATTTTAAACACTCATCAGGGGCAAAAGGTACAGGTACAGGTTTTCCTGTCAAAATGAGTGTCAACACTTGGGGGCAGGGAGTACAAATACTCCTGAGGAACCCCAGGAACCCAGCAATCCCCTCCCCAATGTATGAGGCCACCTGCCTCTCCCAGCCCTGCATTCCTGGCTTGAGAATGATCAGTCCAGGTGGCAGGGCCCAGACCCTCTGCAAGGAGATTGGGCAAAGGGCCCCTCTTGTAGAAACCCAGCTTTGTGGACCCCCACCTTGCAGGGGTGTTTCAGTTACAGCAGAAAAATCCTCTCACATCACAGAATGAGCCCAACCCATCCGCTGCAGGCTGTAACTCTTGGGAAAATAAAGTGCCTTCAGTCAGGCAGGGGAATTAGTCTATGCCTTACTCATAGCCTAGGTCATGTTTTAGTTAATATTTTGTTACTGCTGCTGCCAGCGATCTGTCACCAATAATAAATAGCAAAGGATATAAGAACGGTGCTGTATTACCTGTAACAAATAAGGCATTTATTAATAAATGGGTAATTAGTTACTACTTTTATACTGGTTAATTCTTTCAAATGATTCTGTGAACATACGTAAATGGCTGCCGACGGCCCTGTGGCCTAGCGCTCTACTACTCATCACCAAAAGGTTGCCAACTGGTGATGATCAATACTTAGACTGGCTCCCACTCCTGTATAGTTGCTAGTCTACTGAAGTGCTCCAGTGGGACAGACAGAGCACAGTGTGCTTACCCGCTTGTCCTGAAGCTGGGGTCCTCCAGTGCCTCACCTGGTGAAGCATTGCTCGGATATGCCAAGGTTGAGGGTTTGATCTCTGGTCAGGTCTCATAAGGAAAAAAAAACAAACCCAATAAACCCTTCAATGAGTGGAACAAAAAAATGGATGTCTCTCTCTCAGATAAACAAAAATTTAAAGAAGTGAGGTAGAATCTTTTTGTGGGGTGAACTTTACAGGAGCCTTTACTTGTTGCCACACAGTCTTGCCACCACTGGTGGCTCAGAGGAGGGGACAAGAGTGTCCCTGCCCATGGAGTGATCTCCCTGCAGTCTTACTCCACTGGGATTCCATGATCAGGGGTGACTCAGCTGGGCAGACCGTGGGCTGCACCCAGACAACAGATGGACTTGATTGAGCTCACTCAGTTTATTTTCAATGTAAAGAGTTGTTGTTAGGATATTTTTCATTTACAAGCATCACATTTTATTCATTTAATCCTTCAGAAAAAAAAAAAAGAATATCTGGTTGCCCTGGTTTGTGTGGCCAACTGGATTGAGCATTAGCCTGCAAACTGAAATATCACCAGTTTGATCCCCATTTTGGGCACATGCTTGGGTTGTGGGCCAGGGTCCCAGTTGGAGGCACACAAGAGGCAACAAATTGATGTTTCTCTCACACTGCAGTGCTTCTCTTTCTCCTTTACCCCCTCTCTAAAATAAATAAGACATTTTTTAAGTATCTTATGTGCTGAGGATACTAAGAGGTAGAGACTCAGCAGTTTATTATAAAAATACATTCCCCTATCACCCATGGACATGAACAACAGTGTGGGGACTGACTGTGGGAGGGGAGTCTATGTAAGAAGGGGGCCAAAGTGGAAATAATTGGGACGACGGCAATAACCTAAACAATGAAAAAATTTAAAAATTAAAAAAAATCCCCACTATCATTGAGACCAAATTGCAGAAAGCAAGGGAGAAACGAAAAGATTTTAACATGATAAGTTCTAATTTCTTTAGAGAATTTGGAATATCAAAACCCATTGGGCCAACAACTCCTTTTGAAAACTAGGGCAGAGCCAGAGTTCAGTGGGTGATCAAAAGCTCAAACCAGACACTGAAGGTTTCCTGTCCCTTAGAAAGGAGTGGAGATTATCTCTTAGGGGGAGGGATACACTGCAAGTGTCTGTTGCAATATACAGCACATTGTGGATATTTTATGAATGTGTCTTGAGTGATGGGGGCAGCCTTGGGTTCCTTGGTGACCAGATCTTTGGGTAGAATAAGCATATCCATCCATTCAGTCATCCATTCTAGGGTGGCTGGATTTGTATGGCAGGGGCTCGCTCATTCTTGAAGACCTTGCACCATCCAAAACCTGCATAAGACAAGGCCAACCCTAATGGGATGAATGGCATGTCTCTCCTACTAATGATCTGAAAGTAACAAACATAGTTTACAATTTACACAATTCATCATATTAGAAAGTAAGAATTTTTAGGAAAGTTTAAATTGCATGTCTTCTTGTCATTAAAAAATGCCAAATATCATGACTTCAAATATTTATAATTCAAGTTAGCATAAAATATAGCCATGTTGTATTTTTTTGAAAAAGATTTATTTATTTATTTATTTTTAGAGAGGGAAGGGAGGGAGAAAGAGAGAGAGAGAGAGAGAGAGAGAGAAACATCAATGTGTGGTTGCTGGGGGCCATAGCCTGCAACCCAGGCACGTGCCCTGACTGGGAATCGAACCTGTGATCCTTTGGTTCACAGCCCATGCTCACTCCACTGAGCTATGCCAGCCAGGGCTTGCCATGCTGTATTTTAATAAATGCACTATAATATCCTACTTGTGACCTCTCACCACCACGACATAAAAACCATAACCTGGCCAATAACTCCCATATAGCTGTAGCACTCCTTCAATTTCCCCCAGTGCAAAGTAATCATCATCCTGAATCTTGGCACATCTATGTTTGGTTTTTATATCTGGGGGGTACTTTTCCCCCACAGAAATGTTTTAGAAGCTCCACGTTACTAATTTCAGTCAGGTTGTGACTAAGCTCTACCATCCTGAAAGCCAAAGCTTCCTCTTAAAAGTTACTGTGCAGTTTTTGCCCTCATCTGGTTTTATCCCATGCTCCCCATGGACCAAAGAGCTTTGTGTCTAGACAACAGCAGGGCTCTTTCCCAGGCAGATCTGTTCTTTGGAGAAGTCAGAGGTAGACAGAGCTGTGCGTTCTGCCAAGAGATTCAATATCAGATAGCTCCAGCTGGTCTGAATCAGCACCACGGATAGGTCCCCTGTGAAGTCCAGCACCATGGCCAAGTGTATGGAGAAAGGGTTTAGTGCCAGGGGCAGCTCATCTAGCCTGGTTCAACACTACAACAGGTTGATCTGAAAAGGGGTTCAGCTCTGGCTAGGTTAGTCATTTTGTTTGAGCTTTGTCCCATGCACCAAAATGTTGTGAGTTCGATCCTCTAGGCATATGGGAGATGCAACTGATCAATGTTTCTTTCAAGAGAAAGAGAAATGATGTTTCTCTTCACAGAGAAACATCAATGTTTCTCTCTCTCCCTTCTGATATCCCTAAAAATCAATGAACATATCTTGGGTAAAGATTTTAAATAAAATAATGAAAAGGTGTTCAGCATCTCAAACAGCTTCCACTAGTTGAGTTCAGCAGCAACGGACAGGTCTACTGTAGTGGTTCACCACCATAGGAAGGTCTATCGGGAAAGGAGTTCAGCACCACGGAGAGATCTAACGAGAGAAGGAAGATCAGCACCGCCGCATGGCTGTCAGGAAAAGGGTTGAGCACAACAGGCAGATTTGTGCGGAAAACGTTTTAGCACCACGGACAGGTCTAATGGGGCTGGGAGTTCGTCACCACGGTCAGGTCTGTGGGGGAAGGGTTCAGCACCACGGACAGATCTAAGTTGGGACGGGAGATCAGCACAATGGACAGGTCTTTCCACTGAGGTTCAGTACCTGGAGATTCCGATCTGGGGTTTCCAGCACTGCGGAGAGTGGCAACGTGCCTACTTTCCCGGGGTCCTCTGCTAGTCGCATATGGTCTTCTGAGCACTTTTCTGAGTCCATTTCCTAGCTCTCACCCCAGAATCTCTAATTGCTGGCATCTCAAGAAAGAGGCTCTCTTGGTGTTAACCTTAGAAACACAGGCATCAAATACTTAACATGCCCCAAAGGCAACTCTGGATTTCAAAAAAGTTTTGATTTCTTGATTGATTTTCAAGAGAGAGGAAGAGGGAGAGAGAAACATCAATTTATTGTTCCACTTATGTATGCATTCAGTGGTTGATTCTTTTATGTGCCTTGACTGAGGATCAAACCCTTAACTATGGCATATCAGGACGACCCTCCAACCAACTGAACTACCGGGCCAGGGCGGAATTCTAGATTTTCTTCGTGCACTCAAAATAACAACCATAACCACAACCACAACAACAATTGATCCTAAAGTTGATCCTACTCAGTGTACTACCGGGCACTCAGCTGCTCAGGCTCAAAGTCAAAAAGTTTTCCTTGAGCTCTCAGACCCTCTCACCTCTCACACCCATCCATCAATGAGTGCTCTCATCTCCATCTCCGAAGTATATGTGGAATCTGTCCCCTGCTCACCATCTCTCTGCCACCACCCCATCCCTGCCACCATCATTCTCATTTGGTTTATTGCAACACCCTCCTAAAGGGTCTTCTTCCTCATTGTACCCATTGGCTCTCCTCAAGCAGTCTTCACACAGCAGTTTCAGTGATGCCTTGAAAATGTAAGTCAGGTTCTATCACACCCTTCCTTGGTGCCCTTCCTTCTATGACTTCCCAGAGTGCCCATGGTAACACTCAAAGATGTTACTGTGGCTCTCAGGACCCTGGATGCCTCTCTTGTCTCATCTCCCATCATTCCCTTTCTTGCCCGAACTCTCTGGACACAGGCCAGGAGAATATACCTGCTCCAGATAAACAGGCAAAGGACTGATATCCAGAACATATAAATAAAACCTACAAATCGATAAGTAACCTCTACACAAAGCAGGGAGGGTGTCAACAGGGCATTCACAGAAGAGAAGAGAAACCTGGTCACCAAACATGTAAATTTTCTCCACCTCACCAGCAGAGCAGGGAAATGACGATATCATTACGTAAAAGGAGATCTTTCCTCCATCATCTATGGCTTTATAAAAATAAAATAAAATTTTGATGCGGTCACCTTGAGAGCAATTTGGAGGTAGTCACTGCACTGTCAACGTGAATAATAATAAGAACAGCTATTAGTTACTAAGCAGTATATAGGCATTATTTAATTTTTTACCTTCACTGCAATCCTGCGATGCAGTCAGCATATTATCTGCCCTGAACAGAATGGGAGACTGAGGCGCAGAGATAAGTGACACACACCTAATGACACACTAGCAACAAAGGGCAAAGCCAGCTTCTGACCCCAGGGTTCCCAGGGTCTACCACACCCCTGCCCAACTCCTTCCTTCGCCCTCCCCCATCCCCATTCCGGTTGTGTGAAGTTGATGCCTTATCGGGACAAAGACGAGAACATCTGAACCTATCGGCAGAGTATGGATGGCTCATTCCACTGTGGCCAGCCTCATAGCAAGAAGAACCCCACATCCCACACCCCTGAGCATCGCGGGCTGGCGAGTCGTCACTGTCGCTTCTCCGCTCCCCGCTCCCCACCCCCACTCCGGCAGGCGAGTGCTCTCCGGGGCTGGGACTGGAGGAGGGGAGAAGGCCACCCACCTGCTTCTTCTCTCCTTCCCCCAACCCATCAC